CTCGACCGGGCGCCACCCTCGCCTCCAAGCACGCACTCTGTCATCTCCCCTCCTGGGGCCAGCCTTCCCCCTCTCTTCCTGGACCATGACTTCACACCTCCTGGCTCTGTTCTTTACCTCCTCTCCCTCCACACCCTTGGGTCAGCCTTTCACAAGGGGCTTCTGGAGGGATCCTTCTAAACACAAATCTGGGCACTTTGTACTTTACTTATTCCTGTTTACTGTCTGTCTCCCCTGCTGGAATGTAAGTTCCTTGCGGGCAGGGATTTCCTGCTGCTCTGATCCCGAGCACGCCCTGTAGACCAGTCCCTGGCCCAAAGGAGATGAAATAAGTCAGAGGAGCAAGACAGCCCAGGCCCATCCTTCAAGGCAGCTGACCTGCCTGCCCACACATCAGACGCCCCAGCCCTTGTAACCTGACGCCGGGGGGGGGCGCTCTGTGTGTCCTGCAGTTCCCTGACCAGCAGGGCTGGGGGCTCACTCCTCTTGGCACCCAGGGGCTTGGACAGGACCCAGCACACCCATCGGGCACCAGGGAGACTCGCTCGATAAGTGAACGAATGAATGGCTCCACCAGTCCGAAAAAAAATGAGTTGTTCCCAAAACAAACCAAGCTGCAAACAACTTCCCTCAAACATGCTGCGTTATTCCCGAGCCCAGCGCACCTTCATACCTGTTTTCTTATTAACTTTAGAACTTCATTACAAAACAAGCTGCATTGTCGCAAAAAGTCAGGCATGCAAAAAAATCACCCAAATCCCGAGCAGCCCAAACCTTCCCTTTCTCCACGGTAATTCCTGGAAGAAAATAAGCTAAGATATAAGGAGTGTCCTCTGACCAGGCTCCTCTCAGACAATGCCCGCCCGCAGAACCCTATAAAGCCGGTCTCCTACTGAGCTCACCCCAGTGCCACTGTCATGTGCGGACAGAGACCCTGTGCAGTGCATGCTGTGGGGGGCCTGGGTCTGAATGGATCTGGAGCCAGTGTCCCTGCAGTGACTCCATCAGCCAGACCCCCAGGGCGGAGAGTGCGGGGATTTGTCTGGCCGCCATGGGGTTCCACAAATCCAAGTTATCTAGCAGCCCATCGTGGCCAACGCCAGTGCCAGGCCCCGAGTCTCAGAGAAGAGTCCTGGCTGACACTCCCGCGGCCCAGGTCGGGCTTGCAGGGAACTGCCTGCTGGACGGTGGTGGCCTGTCCACCGCCAGATCCCTCCCTCCCTCAGGCCCAGGACCCACGACCAGGCCTCTCTCCAGCCTTCCATGTCCCTGTGACTCTTCCGACAGACACACTGTCGGCACAGCTAGAGTACCAGGGAGAGCAGGGGCTCTAAGCAGGGCTGCTCCCAGCCTGATGCCAACACTGCATCCGACCATCGGGTGAAGCTTGCCAGCAGGAGTGCCCCTCACCCAGGGAGCACCACCTGGCAGAGCTCTCTCCCTATGAGCCAACTGAAGCCTTGGGCCAGCGGAGGCTCCAGAAAACTTCTTGGCTCCAGCGAGGCCTCACCCAGGGCTCCACCCACCAGTCAACGCAGGTGCCTTCACATCCGCCTCACAGGCTCTAGTCCACTCTCCAGCCGCTCACATTAAGCGACTCACCCCCCCATCCCACCCCAGAGCTCATCTAGGGCGGCCTGTGACCAGGGGCCCCCTGCTGAGTCCCCCCATGGCCTTGTCATGGCCAGCCCACCACTTCTACTGAGAGCAGGCCTCAGGACAGCAGGGATCAGCAGGAAAAGCAGGGACCGGACTGGCGCACAGCAGCCCCACGGATCCACCTTCCACTCGCCAGCTCCCCAGCTCCCAGTCGGATCCCGCCTCCCCCGGGGGGCTGTTGTGTGGGTGACAGGAAAGAAAGCAGGAGCTGCGACAACCACTGCCCAGGGTCAACACTAAGGAAATGATAGCTCGTGGTGGATAGACAAAAAAAAGAGGGTTTTTTTTAAGTTTCTGTCTTGTCGCCAGCGGACATGAAACCAGCTACAATATGTGGAATCCAGCACTACGAGCAACGCTTTCCTTCTTTCCGCCTCCTTGTACTCAACATCGGAGCAGTCCTGGCTCCACAACTGGGAGAGCTAAGACCAGGGCGGTGGGGCCCCCCCGCGAGGATGAGCTCTTCAGCGCTCCCCCCGCAAATCACGCCACACTCCAGCATCCAACAACACACAAATGAACCCTCCACAGGCTCCACACCCCAGGGTTCAGCTCACCGTCTGAACTTCAGCACCCACCTCTCTACCGAGCTTCACCCTCCCTTCCCCCAGGGCCCAGCTCCCGAATTCCCCCCAGGTCCCCCAAATCCTATATATCCCACAAGGAGCACACCCTCTTCCCCCACCTGGGGCAGCTCCTCTCCCTCCTCCCTGTCCTTGTGGACGCCAGGCCCCACCCTGCATCAGCCACCCACGCTGGACATGGGGTCTGTGGCTCCTCTTAGGCCCGGTAGGTGCAGCCCTGGCTACCCTCACTTCCCCAAATCCATGCAAATGATTCTGCAGCCAGACAGTGACGTCATCACCACAAAAATACCCTAGGTACTTTCTTTGTAAATGAAGAAGCAGAGAAAGCTCACAGGCTTTGAAGGCCACAGCTCTGAAAGGGGGCTGGCCGGGAGCCTTGGCTCAGCCGCACACCAGACCCCCGGGGCAGCTTCCGGGGCTGAGCACGCAGGGAACATCTCTCCAGGGCTGACACCCAAACAGTCGGGTTTCTTGCAACTCGCTTTCCCCTGCGCTGGTTTGGTCCTGATCATTACGATACCCACTTTCCCTGTTCACATGGGGAAGTTTCTTCCCATTTGGGCTGTGAGCAGAGCCAGAGAATAAATCTCTGTCAAAGAATTGTCTGCCCCCTTCTATTTTTAAAAACGGGAATTTTTTACATTTTATGTGCCACAAAGACAATTATGTATATTTTAACCAATGTGTATGTCACTTTGCAAAGAAGGAATTTAATGGGAATAACGAAGAAATACGTGTTCTGTCGGCGCGCACCTATCAGTAGCTTTCCAAATCCAGCCATGTTTAAATAGCCCACCTGTCTTCCACAATCCTTAAAAGAATTCCATTGGCACTCTTCAGTTAATGAGCTGAATGAGTCCTAAGTCAGAATACACGGGACTGCTCCCTTCAAAGAGGCCCACAGTTCTCACACCGGAGGACATCCTGGGTGCCAAGAATTGTGGGTGCTACAGCAGAGGGTGGGGAGAAACAGCAGGTGCACAACATCACTAGGTGGAGAACAAAAGCACGAGTGGGAAGGACGGCCAGGGTGCGGTGGGTGCTCAGTGGGGTCCATCGGAAACACCAAAGAGGGAAGCCAGGGCTCAGAGGGGACGCCTCGGAGACCACCAGCCAGCCCCCAACTGTTGTGCTGGAAGACGCTCTCTTCCACGTCTCCCCAGGCGCACAGAACTAGCTCAAGCTTTCCCTCCCCCGGTGGGGCTTCCCTGCCCCTCCACCCAGCATCTCACACACACAGCTCTATCACAGCTGAAGCCCAGCCGCCCCGTCCAGCTCTGCCCACGGAAGGCTGCCCACTCCCCCAGGGTGGGAACCACAGCTACCCCACCCTGCATGCCAGGGCCTGGTGCACGGGGCTCCCACGGCATTGGTGAAATGAAGGAGTGCATGAAATGAGGCTCCACACTCAAGACACGCAGAGGGAGGATGAGGGAGTCTCCCAAACTGAGCCCGAATCTGGGATGCTTCTAAGTGGGGCAAAAGGTTTAGGTAAGGTAGACACAACCATAAGGAATGCTGCCTGCCGGGCTAAGGAACGCGGTCTCCATTCTGTGCCAAAGTGAGCCACTGTGGGTGTTGGAGGAGAGGAACGACATTTTAAAATCAATGGTTTGGGAAGACGAATCTGGTAGCCACATCTATAACGGACTGCAACCTGTTTCAAACGGACGATTGTGAAACAAGTAAAGGCTACAACTCAGCTTGTGTGTGTTAGAAAGATTTGGCTCTCACACACAACGGGCAGCCCCCAAAACTAACTGCATACACACACGAAAGATTTAATAAAGTATCGGCGTGTTTTAAAATGACAGCATAATTACATACCAACACCAAGCAACGTAAAACTATCGCAAACCACTTCGGACGCCCGACCATGACGTCCAACCATAACTGGCAGTCGCCTTGCTCTGCCTATCCCACGTCAGTGCTGACAAATTGGGGTGCCGGGGCTGAGGGGCAGGTGGGGGAGAAGAGGGATCACTGAGTGTCCCCCGGGACGGCCTGCTCCAGGCGAGGCTTCTCCCAGGTGAGTGCTCCCCAGGTTCCGCCACCGCAGGGGTCCTCTGTGCTCTTCAGCAACTGTGGGGTCCATGGGAACCAGGTGACTGGAATGGGAGCCTTGAGGCAGCCTGGGCTTCCTGCCTGGCTCCCGGGTCCCCCACATGCCTATGGAGCAGAGCAAGACTCCCAACCTGACCTTGTCTCCTACTTGGCTGAACGCTGTGACAACACAAGATGTTATGTAAGCGAGGAGCTGAGGTACAGCTGAAATGAAGCAATTCCAGTAAATTAATGTTTCTACAGTGGTTTACATGAACATTCCTGTGCTCACAGTTTTCTGTTTTAAAATTCTAAGACTTATAAACATCTCTGCTGCGTGAACAACAAGAGAAGATGGAATCTGAACTCCGGGTCTACTTATAATTTTAGCTGTGATTTCTGCATGCTGGCAACTCAAAATCTTTGCCCTTTAAAAGACGTGTGTTCTACGGGCAGTTGCTGTCTACACGGTTGGTGAGGGCAGAGCAGAACAATGTGACACAGAAATAACTCACTGTGCATGAGTTCAAGCTGCAGGTCAGCTACCAAGGTGAAAAGTAGACAATAAAGAACGTGTTTCACCATTGTCTGCCACACCTTTCAGAAAGAAGCAAAAATGGTGACAGGAGCAACAGAATGTTCCTATTTTCAGGGTAAGGGGAAAAAAAAGTCTTTTCCAAACCTAATCAAAAAATTAAATGTACAACTCCCTCCAGCAAGAAATTTATTTTTAATTTTCATTTACATAGTATCTTTCTTCCAAGAATCTCAAAATAATGGCGCTCCACAAATACTTTTAAAAAAACAGTTGTCACAACAAAGTGGGGGGACAGGCTTGGCAGAGCAGGAGCTCAGAAGAGGGGCAAGAAATGGCAGGCAGTGGCGACAGCAGGCGCCAGGGCTGGCAGCGCCCCGGCAGAGGGTGGCCCTTCCTGTACCAACAGCCCCCCAGCCCTGCTCCGATTTGCAGCTTCAGGCTCTTCACGACAAGGATTTACCGCTGGTGTCATTTACTAGCTTTAATCAAATTATTTTGATCTAAATAGCTACTTCTTCCCTAAAAACAGGAGGGCAGACCCTCATAGGTCCCAAGTAACAAGTGAAGAAGCAAAGGGCCTAAAGTGAGTTCAGATTCAGATTTTTGGTCTTAAAAACATAAAACTATGTTAGAAAATAAAATACTAACGATTTTTAAGGGGGAAAGATCCAATCTGAGAAAGACTATCTTGCTTTTGGGGGAAACTGGGAAGAAGCTTTGGAGAGGGTTGTTGTTTTGGGTTTTTTTTTTTTTTTTTTACAGCTGGGTGGACAGGATCTGAACATCCTACATTTAGCAAAAAGCTGTCAACACCCAAAGAAAATTTTAATGACAGCAAGAATGGCATTCTATTTCTCACAATTTTGCAATGTTCACTTAAGAAAGAGCTAATTTGTCAATTTGTTTTTCCCTTAACCAAACTCGGAACAACTCACAGACATACATAACTTTTTAAAAAACATTAAGTGCTTTTACTTATTGAATAAACACGGCCCCATAGAAAGATGTCTTTAAGGAAAGAGGCCACCACGCTGGTACACTCAGGGCGGTACTAAGAGCCAGCCTGAGAGAGAGCTCTGCTGATTTCTTCCGACATTAACATCGTAAATCACAGAGTCAAAAGCATCTAGGATCTCAACTGTCAGCTGAGTGGGCCATAGGCAAGACCTAGCGGCCTCTCATATTTTATAAAGCCATGGGCCACCTGGTTGGTATTCCTAACTTGTTTCCACAAATGCTTTAATGAAAGAAAGCAGAACCTAGTGAGTTTCGTGTGCATCTCCTACCTGGCTATCCTTCCAGCGGCTCTGCAGCGTTAGGTAAATCCTTGGAAGGAACCAACACTCCTGACTCCATTCCTTTCTAGTCACCTGTCTGCTGGTATTCCCGAGGAACAACTTCAGGGATGGGATGGGGGGAAGAGGGTGTCTTCTGAGTAGGAATCTGTACCAATCCCGTCCAAGGAACTTCCTGGGCTGCCCATAGCCCAGGGCTCTAATAAACACCAAAATTCCGCCGACCGCCCGGGCCTCCTGCAGTAAAGGAAAGCCTTCAGACTCAAATGAAGAAATCGACCACATTCATTCTGTGCACTAACATCGTCCTACTGGAATCTAATTACAGCAAGAATTAGAATTATTTTTATTAGAGAGTCATCTACTTTTCGAAGGAGAGGTTCTTGACAGGTTTTGCAACAAATCCGATGCCTTTCAGAAAGAGGTGTTCGCCCTCGTTATGTTTTCTAACTGTGTCATCTTACGTGAACAGGGGAGCACAAGCACTTTTTAAAACTCTTTAAGTCACAGCCCAGGTGCATTTGTCCAGCTTCAAAGCTGCTTCAGGTATGGCGCAAATGAGGGTGACACCGCAGGTCCCCCCTCAGTCCCAGATCACCTCCTGTGCAGCCGAAGACCACTCTCCTCCACCAGCTTTCTCAGAAGACAGCTGAAAAGCAAATCCAAAACTGTGCCAGGACCAAGAGCTCAATACAAATCGTAGTCGTCCTCTCCGACAGAATCAACACCAACCAAAAGTTGGTTCTTAAACATACAGCAAAACTGAAGCTATCAGCCGGCTTTGAAAACTAGAATAGGAAAAATGATTTAGACAATTCAGAGGGCCCCACCGTTAATATGTGACTGAAATACCCTCCTAACCAATTTATTTTGGTTGTTATTTAAGCTTAAATCTCTAAATGAAGAACTTTTGGGGAAAGCCGTTTCTTTGAATTCTAAGTCATTATCAGGGTATAATAAAATGTACCCCAAACGCTTATGGCAACAAATATTTATTCAATCAGAAATCACAAAGGAATTCGCAACTTCTTTGCTATAAAAGTTACATAATACAGATATTAAATCGCTTGCCTAATTATGCCACGAAAGTTCCTTTTTCACCCCACGATCTGCATGCACAGTTCTCTCGGGTACCCACGTGGAACATGCAGGCGTCCGGTCCCTAAAATGCCCAGCATGACTGGAACGTCCAGGTAAACAGGAGCGGGGCACAGTGAGAGGTCACAGGGCCCCTCTTCAAACAGCTTCAACAGAATGAACGGCCATAAGGAAGAAGTGTCTCTCTGCTTTGCGAGAATAAGATTCAAACACAGGATTCCAAGAATTCCACCTGTTTCCAATTAGATACGAGAATTGCTTGAGTGTTTAAACTACATTCACTTGCTACTTATACAAAACAATTCTTCCGGGTTTTTTGAACATTTTAAGTATGTTAAAATAAGATTAAGGGTCTGGTTTAAACAATCAGAGGCAGGGGAATTTCAGTGGAAACCCAAACTCTCTCTCTGTAGCCATAATGCAGAGCTTCAGACAAAACAGGACGAGATACACGGATTACTCTCGTTGACAATTACTTGTAAAAATCAGACCTTTCACAGGGAAAGCAAGTATATACTTTTTAAAAAGTTAAGACATTAAATAAACAGGTTTTTAAATAGATGCTAAAATAAATGTATGACCCTGGATATTAGACTAACTTTTATAGTAACTTTTAGCTGGCATTTGTGCTATGGTTCATCAGACACACTTGTCTTTTAAATATGTGAAACTTACATGAGGCCAAATGTGTGAACTCTATGAAATGGAAGCGCAGGTAGGAAGCTGGCCTAGCTCTGTAGGATTTTTCACATGATGAATTTCTCTTTTAAAAAATGCATACGTTTTCCTCTAACAAATTTGTCCTTCCTTCATTTCACTGCAGATGTTCCTCGGGCTTTATAAATGAGCTGAAACGAATATGGATTTTCTACCCTGAGCCTTGTTTTCTCTCCTAAGATGCAATGTGAGCCCAGCCTCAGGAACAGCTTTGACTGGACTGCTACAGGCAGAGCCGGAGCGGGGGCCACAGAGCACAGACTCGCTTCTGCACAACTCCTGCATAAACCCCTGTGGGTTTGTTTTAATTGTATACAACAGAGCAGAGGACTTTTTCAACTGCCACTAAAGGTTTGGGGCTCAATCAGCTCCCCAGATAGCATTTTTAAGGTTAGCTCAGTGGGACAGGAGAGAAGAATTCCTGAAGGGATTGGCCACGTGTCCCCTTTTCATCTTTCTCAGGTAGCTAACTCTTGGTGGGAGATATGTGGGACTAAGGAAACAGGCGAAGGGGGTCTTAAAGGATCCGACTGTATCAGGAGTTGTTGCATAACTCCCTCCGTTCGCTGACTTGCACCTTCAAAAAAAAAAAAACCTACACATGGTTTCACACAGAAAAAAAAACTTTAATCAACTGATGATGACCCCTTCCCACATCCAATCTCCAAGACACTGATATTAAAGAACCAAGGAAACAAAGACAGCAGCTGCGGAGGACCCTTCCATTTGTTTACTCATTATCTTAAAAAGGCTGCTAGAGGGGATGCATATTTTAATCAAAATAATATAATTCTCACAGGGAAGAGTCGGTAACATACACGCTTCCATAACAGAAGACAAAATAAAAGCAAGCAGAAAAAGGACTTTTCAGCAAAACTGAAATTGTTTTATTTTGAAAAAGAGGAAAACGTTTCAAGTTCCCTTTGGCAGAAGCTCCTTCCAGGGAAACGCTAGGCACCATGTGGGAATAGTCCCCCAGGGAAAACCACTCGGCGGCAGGCCGCATCCCCAAAGCTACACTAACATACAGCTATATGAGCTTGTTTTCTAAAATGTCCTCTTTTCAAAAGTGTATTCAAAAGGAAAATTTATACAATGGTGTTTTTCTTATTTAAAAAAAAAGTCTGGTTTTTACAAGTCTAGGGTAGGATAAAAACTTGTCCAACTAGTCTTAGCAACACCAGGGCATCGAAACTTCCAGACCACAGGCTTTGGGACTAAAAAGGAAACGAAACAGACCTCCGTCTTCAGAAACTCTCTTCCTGGGGACCCGTTCCCGTCCCAAGGCAGCCTCAGGACAGACCAAGCAGAGGGACAAGCCGGCAGCCCCGAGGACCGTGGCAAGGGAGAGGCGCACCACCGCCTCATCTTGCCCCTCGGGGACCCTGAAGCCTCGAACTGGACCTGGGTCCAGCTGAGAGCAGCCTGTCCCCCTCAGGTGGCAATGCCGAACCCCACCCTGGGCTCCAGGAAACTCGACCTCAGCGTAAGGGTTCTGGAAAGATGAGAAGAGTCTGAAAGGAATGAATTCTCTTTTCAAGCTGCAGTCTCACTGGCTCGCTGACTGACTGTGGGAACAGAGATGACGCTAAACTAGATATCAACTCAAAAGGCCTCTTCGGCGCCCAGGGGAAGAAGCAGTTTCGCCTTATACTTGAACTCTCGTGTTCCATAGTCAACTGAAGTTTCCAAACGTGCCATGAAGTGGCATCTGAGGCCAGACCGTCACCCACCACCCACAGCCAACGGGTGCTCAGCAACAAGAATGATGCTCAGATAAAGGACTTTCCTATTCAAGACGAACACCTGAACGTTCATTCACATAAACTGACAAAGAAACTTTCAATCGAATCCTAGAGTTACAGTTAAACGTCCTCAGGATACCCTGAAGAAGCAGCTAATCGCTGGGGGGGCGGGGGCCGGAGGGGGGCAGGGAAGAGCGCCTAAAACTAATAACTCTCTGGAAACCAAACCCATCTCCCAGGCCGTTTTGCTAGGAAGCTTAAAAAAGAAACTTCATTGATATTAAGCTCGAATGTCACATTTAAGAAGACAAGGGGGAAAAAAAATTAAGGGTGTCTCTTAAAACTCCACAACGGGTTTTACAGTAAGCACAGGAATTAAATTATGATAAAAGGGAGCTATTTTTACTAAAACGGGGTAGACCAATTTATCAAAAATGCCATTCGGCTGTGTTCATTACATCCAGGAATCTAATTTACACAATAGACACTTTGGAGTAATCTATTTTAGTCAATAAGGACCCAAACTCCTTTAAGTTTTAATCTTATCGGAAATAGTTCACATAGTCTTCTTCCTAGTTAAGCGAGAATTTTGAAGAAATTTCCTAACGCCTGGGAGCCTGCTTCATCGTTCTCACGCAGGCGAGAGCAGAAAACAAGCACATACAATTAAAGTTGTCAGACTCCACTGAGACAGGTTTCAACCCAATCCGCTGGGTTTTATACAGGTCTGCATCTGGACCTCATTTGCTCTTCCTCCTACAAGTACCGCGGGTCACTATCACCGTCCTCCCGGGTAGGAAAGTTCAGCCAAGTTCACCCTCACGCACATCTCGAGTTGAGAGCAGCAGCGTCCCCCGGGGACACGGAGGGACCCCCCGGAGCGCTAGCCAGCCAGGGGCCCTCCTAAACCGCGGACACCCCCCCACACAGCCCCCCAGGGCTCAGGGAGCTTCTGGCCCACAGGCCGCTCACCTTCAACTTGGCTCCGGCTACACACAGCATCCACCTGGCAGAGTCCAGGGGCTGTCCAGGCGCCGCGAGCGCGGAGCTGGCAGGTTCCGGGAGGACCCCGAGGGCGCGCCGCTCCTCTGGGTGGGGGGTGGCAGGCGGGGACGCACCCCCTGGGCGCGGCGGCGGCGGCGGCTCGGGCCCCCGACGGGGAGCCCCGGCAGGATCCCCCGGCGGCGCCCGGGGCTCGGCGCGTGGACCACGGCCCGGCACGCCGCCGTCCAGCGGGGTCCCCGGGGCTTTGCTTTCAAGAACCCGATCGGAGAAGGCATTTCGGAACCGACCCGCCGCGCGCTCCATGGCGCCCGCGGGGCGTGCGGGGAGGGCAGGGCCCCCGAAGAGAGGGCCCGAGGGGGGCGGCCGCGGGCGCCCCGGGGCGCGGGGCAAGGGCGGCCGGGCCGGGCGGCGGGGAGGAAGCGCCCCCCGCCGGGGCGCCGCGCGGGGCCTGCGCTCGGGGAAAGTTGCAGCCCTCCGCCCGCACCCGCGCCTGCCGGGCGCCAGCACCCTGGGCTCCGCGCGCCGTGCGCCCCCGCCACCCCTCGCAAGTTTCCCCGAAGCGCCCCTGCCGGGCTGCCGGGCCGCGGAGGGCCGGTCCGCGACACGCGTGCAGGCGCACAAAAGAGCCGGCGGCCGCGGGGTCTGCGGGGGCCCCGGGGCGCCCGCCCGGACGTAAACAACCCCGGGGTGCGCGCGGAGAGCCCGGCGCCGGGGGCGGGAGCGGCGGCGGGGCCCCGGCCGGCTGACAGTGGGGGCGGCGGCCGGGACCCGGGCCGGCCGGGGCCGGGGCGCGAGCGCGGACGGCCGCCCGCCTGGCCGGAGCCGGGCGCGCCGCCGCCGCCGCCGGTGGCCGCTCTGACCCTCCCCCGAGCCGGCGGCACCACAGCGCCACCAGCCCCAGCTCCGCCGCGCCGGCGGCAGTGGCGGCGGCGGCTCCTCCTGGAGAGGCAGGCACTTCACCCCCCACAGCAACTCCCCACAAACTTTCCCCGGGAATACGGCGGGCCGGGGGCGCGGGGCGCGCGGCCGGGCGCCGCCGCCGGGCCGCAGCCCCCTCCCGGCTCAGCGCCCGCCGCCGCCGCCGCCGCCCGCGCCCCGCTCGCGCGCGCGCCCCGCGGGCGCCGGGGCCGCCCCCTCCCCGGTCCCGCCGCGGCGGCGGCGGCGGCGGCGGCGGCGGGCAGGGCCGGGGGGGCGCCGGGGTGGGGGCCGACCCCGGGGGCAGCGGTGGCGGCGGCGGCTCCCGGCGCCATCTTGGGCTGATCGATGAATTGAACAAAGAGGATCAATTTCTGATCAAGCGAGTTATCAATGGGGGCCGGGGAGCGAGAGGGACTTGTCCCCGACTCGGCCCCGCTTTCCCCGGCACCCCCCTCCTCCCCGCCGCCGCGGCCCCCCGGCGGCCGGGCAGCCCGGGGCCCCGGGGGAGGCCGCGACCGCCCGCAGCCCCCACCCCCGGGCGAGAGGCCGAGCGAGGAGAAGCCTGACCTGCAGCTGCTGTAAATCAAAGCGCTTCCAATATTGAAACATCGATCCCACATTGGCCGCCATCTTGAGACATATTGAGACGGAGTGAGAGGCTGATAGAGAGGGGGCTGGAGTTCAGGAGCCGCCAGGAGGCAGCAGGCGGGCGGCGCCAAAACCCGGCCTGGAGCCGGCCGCCGCCGCCGCCACGGAGGACGCGGACTCTCCTCACGGCGCCGCCGCAGCCATGGCGAGCCCGAGCCGGAGCCGGAGTCGGAGCCCGAGGGCGCGGCGGCCGCTGCCCGGCCTCTCGCGCGCGGCCCCTGCTCCCTCCCCGGCGCCCGGCCCGCGCCCGCGCCCCCCGCCCCGCCCGGCCCACGGCCCCGCGCCGCCCGGCGCGCGGCGGCCCCGGCCCGGCCCCGAGGGGGCGCTGCAGGGTGGCGGGAGGGGCGCGGGCCCCGCGGCAGGCCCCGGGCCGCGCTCACCTGGAGCGGGCTTCGGGCCCCGGGGGGCGCAGGCGCCGGCGGCGGCACCGTGGTGGCGGGCCGTGGCCGCCCGGGAGCGGGCGCCGGCACGGCGCCGCTTTCGCTCGCCCTCCTGCAGGGCCCCGAGCGCTCGGAGCCGCCGCGACCACCTGCCCGAGCCCCGACCCCGCGCGCACCGGGGTCCCGCAGCCGTGCGCCCACCCCTTGCGCCCCAGCCGGACTTAGAGTCCGAGACGGCCGGGGACGGCGTTTCACGTTGGTGGCAGTGGCGTTGGGGGAAACCAGCCCCGACCCTCGTGTCGCTACACACGTTAATGCTGCACACGGTGGCCGCGCAGTCCCCGCACCGCGTCCCCGGTGGCCAGGGGTCCCAGCGGCCCCTGTGCGCCCGAGCTGCGCCAGCTTAGGCCACGACGGAAAAGTCTTGGAGCCCAGCTGTGTATGCCCCCCGCACCGCTTCAACGGAACGGCCCTAGAAACTTCCTGTAGTTTAGACTCCTGGGTTTTCACTCCTTTAGGTGCAGAAACTTGGAAAGTGTGGGTGCTCTTAAAACAGAAAGCGGGATCGCTAGTTTCCAGAAATACTAACATTTCAACCAAAAAGTCCATTCTCTTTTGATTTCTTCGCAGACACCTTGCAACAGCACACGTTTTATGATTATCTTTAATTGATTATACACACACGTGTGAGTTGGAGTTTCCAGTGGGAATACTGCACTTTTTACTCTCCTGCACTTCATTTAACGTGTAATTAGTTAAAACAAATCCCCAAATTCCTTAATCTTGAAAATTATATGTAAATAAAGTCTGTATGGAATACAAAATAAAACACCTAAGTGGAATATAATTGCTTTTCAACTGAGTTCGAGGGTCGTTGCGGTGAATTCAGCACTTTTGAATGAAGGGACTGGAAATGAAAGTCCTCGAGATGTAGAGAACGCACGTGCCCCCAGGACTGGCACTGCCGACCAGGAGCCTCAGTTTCGTCAAACGCGCTGCTCCCGAGGTCTGGAGGGGGTCCCCTCGCTGTCCCCATGGCAGCTTTGTATAGTCAGTCGAAGGGGCAGGAGGCAGGTAGGTGGGAGCGCGCCGGGAGCCTCGTTCGCGGATGCTGCGACGCCGCGCTCCGCAGGGGACTGCCGACTTCGGGACGCGAGGGCAGCCTCGGTGTGGGGCGCCTGAGCCCGCGCGCGCCGTCGGCCGGTGGCCGCGCTGCAGCTCCGACTGCGCCGCCCGGTAGAGGGCAGCGCCGCCCCGACACTCGCGTCCTCGGGTCCCTGCGCACGTGCCCACCCGCGCGCCCCGCGCCTGGCCACGCCCTGTCCCAGAGCCAGGCCCCTGGCGGGAAATGGCATTGCCACCTCTGGCGGTTCCTGTGCCGACGAAACGCCGCATCTAACGTTTCCTCCCCTATCCCACACTTGGGGATGTCTGCCCTCCCGTCCTACTTGTGTCGTGGCAGGCAGAGGAGACGTTGAAACTGCCCTGAAGGTAACTAGACAAAATGTGCAGGGGCTTTAAAAAAAAAAAAAAAAAAAAAATCCCTCCCGTGGGGAACGCCCGAGGAAGGATCAGGAAAATGGTTTGGATTTGGTGCAGATGTTCTCAATCTAATTATCGTGTTGATCCCCTGGGTTTGAACCAAAAAAGTGAAATATATACGACCTGTGTAATACACCAGGAGTACATCTGGTTAAAATTCAGGTTTCTGAATCCACCGCAATATTTTAGAAATAAATTTGATCCGTATTAAATACCCTTGTTACGTTTCTGGTTATAGTGACATTATTTACACGCTGACTTGACTCAGTAGAGAAACGCTACATTGAACGGCCCAGCGGTTAAGCTCTATTTAAATAAAATGTAGATTTCTTCTACCAAAGTTTTGGGTTATACAAGGCTTCTTGCTCTTGACAGGGGAAAGGAGAAGTTTAGGATAACTTGGCCAGCACCACAACGTGTTACCATTAGAAAAGGAAAAGCACTGATCAAAAATTGTCTCAGCTGAGTGCAGTAGCCAGCAGGGACCTAAAAACTTTGTAAAGTACGTGTTATTTTTCTGGAGTATAGACATAGAATAAGAACAAATTGTATCTATTTCTAAAGGCTGTTTTCTTTCTTTTTTTTAGATTGATTTTTGTCTTCACCATAGAGGAGGGCAGGAGGACCCTCTAACATCCAATTACAGTAGATCTAGAAAGCTGTGTACTGTATAAAATATTCAGAAAATGGAAAGCTTTAAGACCTAAATCTCCATTAGTACCTACAAACACAACAGAATAATGGCTATCACCTCCCCCCCTCCAAAGTGTGAGAAAGAGGCAGGCTAGCAAAATAGCTGGCCCAGGACCAAGAAGTACCTTGACTCGAAAATATTACTTAGAATGAAACACAAGAAAAACAGTTCAGAGGCATTATTTTTACTTTTTGACATTCAGGCTCTCCCTTTAGGGAAAGAAAGCTCACAGTTCCCAAGTATTCAACTAATCTGTCATTCCAAGATTTCAAAAATCAAGCCTCAAGCCCCAAGTATGGGGGGGGGGGGGGTCGTGCTTGCTCCTGACATCTTCAAATGAAATCCAGCTTAGCACCAAATAAGGCAACTAAATAACTAGTATATGAGCCCAGAATTGCTAAGTTTCTTTTCTGACCCATTTTATTTTGCCCAAGAAAAATTCAGTGGCCATATTGGGGATGTGATAATACTAATTGATGTAACTTAGAGAAAATTGTAAAACACTTTCGAAAGTTCATACTTTTAGGAAAGTGGCATTGCCTTGCTCCTGGCATCGGTGGACCCATCACTCTTCTAACATCTACATATGGTTGACTAAATACACTAAGGTAAAAATTTGCAAATTCTCTAAAATGCCATATGAGTTGATTATTACTAAATTGGCCCTCTTTGAGTAGCCCCACGAAATGAAAATACATTACATTGTCTTCTAAAGATTCTAATTTAGTAATTGTTTTGATACACTTAACCTAATTCCTTGAAGGAATTAACCATCAAGAATTTCTTCCAGACTGAAAAATGTCTTACAATGTAGGGCATTATAAAAAAAAAAAGCCATCCTCTTTATCCCATACAAAAGAGTCTTTATGTTCTGAGATCTTATTTATAATGGACTCATAAAATTAAGTTTCACCTAGAAACTTTATCTCCAGAAAAAGTCGGAGAATAATGTAGAGTTTTTTAACCCAACTCCAAGAATAATGAAAATAGTCAGAAATCTTCCATCTTATGCGATAAGCTTAAAAAGAAATTTCAAGAGATTCATTCTAAAACCTTAATTCACTTTCTGAATATTTTTGTACCCAAATGAGAACTGGTTTTGAAAAGTTTTCGATAAAAAATATTTCAGATAACCAGAGACAATACATAATGCTAAATGCTTACATCATCATTTATTCACAAATAAACATAAAAACCTGGCTACTTTTTGATGCATGGTAAAAACAAATCATACTCCGAAGAAATCATATGGGAATCTCAATTTTGCAAATATAGAAGCTGAAAATTATATCAAGGTAATCATTCAAGTTGACTGAATTTGTAAATGTTTTCAAATTAGGAATATCTCAGGTCAGACAGAAGTTTTGAGATACTTTACATTTGAAAAGGCCTTTTCCTTAAATCAAAAGATTATGAATAACAAAGGGAAATTACGCTGTCTTCCTTTTGTCTTTGGCGACCGCCTTCCAGGACAATTTGGCATAGACTATTGGAATAAATAAAAGAAAGATTCCAGATTCTTTTTTTTTTCTTTTTTGGAGCTCAAGAAGACCAAACTACTTTTAATTGTTTTGTTTTTTAAATAATACTTTATGTTAATTATTTCTAAGTACACTATTCACTGTACTATGTAAATACCCACCAAATAAAAGTACACATTTTGCTGCATGTAATTACATGCATGGTACATCATTCATCTCTATACGCCAAATGTATGTGTAGTTATATAATTGTCCCGAGAACCTGCCAAACTTGTAAGAACCGACTATAATGATTTCTAAACAGTAGACTCTGCTGTTCACCACCCCCTCAGCCTCTCTCTGGTGACAGCAACTCAGTCTCCAAGACCCTTTACGGAATCTTCAAAGGCTA